TTTCCTGATTTTTGATTAGTCATTTTTGATGACAATTTTGACAATTGTGAAGATTTGCTGCTTTTCTGTTGTTGGACTTTTGGTTGAGGTTGTCATTTTTCTGCATTGAGTACTTTTATTTTTTACTATTACTTTAAGTACATTTTCCTGATTATACTTTAAACAATTTTACATAATTACATGTAACAGAGTTTTTTCACAGTATGGTAAAGGATCTCTCTTCCAGCACTGCCCCTCTCTGTCTATCAAGGTAAACAAACACAAAATAACTGTATATATGCTGAATTCTTAGTAAAAATATCATTTGAATTCTTAGAGTTGATAATAAAAACATGTGAAATCAGTACTTCAAGACAGATTTTGGAGCCGACGAGTGGGTGTGCAAAACTCACATGCATTGACTAAACAAATACCCGAAACTGACACTGGTACCATTCTTTGACAAGGAAGAACACTACATGAGCTGATAGAGGGAGACAGTTTCACGCTATTACACCTCGGGTTCAGTTGACTGCACACAAACACACACCGAGAAAGACAAATACTTCTTGACAATATTATCTGGTCTCATTTGTCTTGTTTTCTATTAACCTTAAAGCGCATGAGCTGTTTGTTTTCGCTTGGTCAGCCGCTGTACACAGTGAAAACTCAATAAGTGACACATCTTCAATGGTCATCACACAAAAAGCCCATCCGTACATGACAACAAATCACTCATCAATAACCTCTGTTCAGTGAGTGTAATAATGACTTGTAACCCTGTATCATTCACAAAGACATGGGGTGTCCCTCCCTTCCGCCCCCATAGGACATTTTTACATGAAAACATATGTACGGTAGTCAACGGCGAGAGGTTACACATTGATAGATCCCTTTTGAACTGTACCCTGAATTACCCACATGATGTTTGTCAATTTAAAATATAATGTTGTAAGTCAAGAAAGTCGCAGTTTGTCGTAAAATTGAAACCCCTCAATGAACTACATCTCTCGTCTTGCACAATATACGTCACCAACGTGTTAATGGTTCAGTGTGTAAGTTTTAGTGGCATCTAGTGGTGAGGGTTGCGAATTGCAACCAATGGCTCACTGTGCAGTCACTTGTTCCTCGGACGAAACAAGTACTGTATATTAACCCCTTAACGTTGTCGCGAACTGGCATCACAATGTTTCCATGCATATTCAATACGTACCTAGGAACCTTTTGCAAGCACTGGTTTCTTGTTTATGACTGTTAATTTGCATCATACCTGAATTTATATCTTTTCTCTTTTCTATAGACAAATTAAAAATCTCCACTTAATTTATTATCAGCAAGCATTTGCAAGCAAATGAAAACAAAATAATAATTTTCTTGTATAACTGTAACTAAATGCAGGCATCAAGGGGATAAATGTATTAATTCTAATGGCAATTGTCAATTCAGCAGCAAAAATCTGAACTTAGTAGTTTTTGAAATCTGTCAACATATGGTCCTTTTTTTTTACTATCTTTATAGAACATAGGCTACCCCTGACAAAGATTTTATTTTTGTGTCTTCTTGTATATAGTTCTGTATACTTCTATGTGTCCATGTACACTTTATTCCTCTTTTTGCAATAAAGATTTAAGGAGGAAAAAAATCCAATTACTCCGACACCACATGAATGCACCATCAGTCACTGCTCATCCGTCACTTTCCAATCATGTAGAAGAAGCCACGGTGTCCGACACGCTCTGTCGGCTCTTGTGCTAAATAACACGTGTGGTCCTCCATTAGTCCAAATATCACTTCTCTTCTTACTTCTGAATAAACCAGACGACTACTAGGGATGCACCGAAATGAAAATTCTTGGCCGAAGCCAATAAATAGTCAAAATGTGCTTTTTCCTCAGTGTTTCCCACAGGATTTGGAGAGACTATGGTGGGTGGGTCCGGTAAAGTAAATTACATGTGTCCAGTTACTTTTAATGGACACATGTAATATGTTTTATACTTTCTGTGAATATATTTCTATCCTGTATAGACTCCTTATTTTGAAAACTGGACGTTGTCACATGTGTATGTGTAACAGCTTTTTCTTGCTATTTTCAGACGATTAATTTCGGTGCATCGGTGCAAAAATGTGTTGTTGACTGCTGTACATATTTTCTAAATAAGGTCCCGTGGTGGTCCACTGGAAGGGGAGGGGCTTAGACTCTCTATGCAGAGGGAGTTGTGTGCATGAGTCAGACAGCAGACTTCATGCGCATAGTAAAATTGCAGCCTTTGTCTCCATAACACCTGAAATGTAACCCACGCATGTTAGTACAGGTAGAGACATGCAGCCTCTGATATCCCGGAGGAAAACAAGAGAAGTGGCTCCTCCAGCCTCCAAAACAGAAAGAGAAAACATGTGAACACACACAGTGTTTGTACTCGACTTGAGGACGCGACAGAGCGGATCCTCACTTGTTTCAAGACATAAAAGCTGGTATCCTTTGTTGCTGCTCCCACTCTGACGTAACGGTGACTGGCAAAAATAAATCTTTATCTCACAACTAACAGAGTCATTTTCTCTAATTTAATTCTTATAATCTCCCCAGATGTGCAGGCCAGTCCCTCGTTTCCTGAAGCATCTATCGCTCTGGCCTCCTAATTACCGGATCTCTCTCTCACTAAATTACTTTTTGGTGAAGGACCTAATCATTTACACCGGCTCCAAAACACGACTTGAAGGCAGGACTTTGTAACGCCCTCCTGAATGCGTTTGGACATCTGCCAGTTGTACTGAGCAGAAAAGGTGGTGCCATGAGGTTTATTTTTAACACAATTAAAATCTGTGAGGACTTTTCTTCTTTGCTCTACTACTACTCTCCTGCAGGCCACAGACTACAGTCCTTTGACTCATTTACTGCCTTCATACATACAGGGACTTTTCACTGGAGTAAATGATCAAATTACAGTTTTTCTCGATTGCTAAAACTCGCTTAATGAAACTGGGATTCACTTCGTCATCAGCTTCTTAGCAAAGCAGAAGTCTTCTGTTGCAAATGTCTTAACACTTTTTCTGTTGTTTCACACGTTGTCACACCCTTTTTCAAAACAGTTAACACAGATCTCATATAAAGAACCCAAACTGGATTAACAAAAAGAAAACATCTATTGACAGCTGATAGAACTTGAATTATTATGAACATCTAATGCACCTGTGTGAAACTCCTTTGCACAACTCTTCAATCAGCAGTGAGGCCTCATCTATCTATAAAAGATGTCACCTCTGTGTTGCTATTTTCAAGATTAATATAATAGATATAATCAAAGATTTTAAAGGCTTGTAAGGAAAGTCAAGGCAGAGAGGCCCCGATTGGACTAAATGTGAAGGATTACTTGGTTGGGTTTAGGAAAAGATCACGGTTTAGGTAACTATGCTACTTATGTGACTTGAGTTACTTACGTAACATCACTAAAGTGAAAGTCCAGTTTCTGACCCACCTGTCCACGCCAAGCACCTCTTTACTGTGACTTGTTTTCGTTATTCATTTCGTACAACTAGTTTTAGCGTTTGTAAATGATGCCACAGGACTTCCCCCACTGCGTCGAACTATGACACTGTTGTTACAAACTGACTCCAAAGGGTCTTAACCAAGCGTGAAGCTTCCGGTCTACAATATGAAGCCGATGCGGAAGTCCCTGAAACCTGCATTCTATTGAACATCCAGCAGGGGGCGAATCTTCTGGTTGCAAAGTCCTGCTCCATTAGAAATAATGTGAAAATGTTTCTACTTCTCAGCTGATTTATTCCCTCAGTAAACACTTTCCTGATGAGTTTATGGTCTCAGTCGCTAGTTTCAAGTCTTCTTCAACACAGCATGATGTTCATTTAGTAAATTATGGTCCCATTTATTTTAAAATAAATCATAAAGCAGAGTATGTTTCAGGGCGGGATTATCTTTGATTGACAAGTCGTTACCATGGTGACCTGTCAAGAGCCGACTCGTACCCTCGGCACTGTGTAAATTTAACCAGCGCCGCTGAAAAAGCTTATTAGGAGTCGGCTGTTCACTTTCTCTGGTGAGCACATTTAGTTTTAAGACTGTTGTTCGCTACACAAAGTTTATCAGCCCTGTTAAAATGACAGTTAACCTGAATTACAGATGCACCAGCTAAGCAAGCTAGCTAGGGCCACACCAGGCCGTTAGCGCCAGCGTCTCGTCCAAATATGGTCACTTCAGGGCACTTCCTGGTTGCAAAAACTCGACATGGTGGCGACTTATCGGCCAAACTCGAGGCCTCAAAACAGGTGACGTCACGATGACGTCCACTTCTTAAATACAGTCTATGGTCTTAACCGTGAGTCCACATGTGACAACTTGGGAGTGAGAAAAGCACCAGTATGATTAATGACATTAATGTTGGTTCTTCTCCAATAAGCCATCCAGTACAACACTAAAACCTATCAAGATGATCCTGTTCACTAATTTTATCAAAATGGAATGCAGCCATTGTTATTAAAGCAGTTAGTTGCTCCTGTGTTCCTGGAGCTGACTTGTTTCCCGCTATTGGTTTTAATCGTTTCTAGTTGTGAACAGCTCCTTCGGTTCCTTTGTACATTTCACTGTGAGTTGGTCAACACCTCTTTTTTATGGTCTACATCTGTAAGAACTTAACGACAAACTTTGCACTTACACACACACACACACACAGCCTACCTCAGTTAGAAAAAGAACATAGTCCAAAATAAAATGCATTTCCTGTTCCTACTGTCTAATGACTTTAAAGTTATTTATTTAACACATTTTGTACTACAGGAGTGGGTTAGTGCAGCTCAGGCTGACTTATTTTACTCACCCTGTAATAAAAATATAATTTGTTTGTGTCTTTGACTTTGTGTCAGTCTGTATTTCCTGCTAACAGACACCACTCTGCAACAAAAAGTAAATTAAACAGTTAAGTGTCCACCAACACCAGTTAACCTGTGATCCAGTAATCACAGACAACTGTTATGTCAAAAGGCCAAATGGGCACATTAGAGGAGCTCACCTGCGGCTCGTCGCTGCTCTCCAGCTGTGGTTCTGCTGCCGCTGCAGCTGTTGCCGCTTCGCCTTCTGCGCTGCCGCTACTGCCGCTCTCGCTGCCGCCGCCCGGTGCCTCGACCAACCTCTCCAAGCACGCAGACCCGAGAGAGGAGCTCTTGTGGTGGGACTGCACCAGCTGAGCCACCGTGGACTTGTGCGGGGACTTCTGCTGCTCCCGGCCGAGACCGGAGCCGCTCCTGGCCGCTTTGCCGCAGAGCTGCGCCTCCTTCGCGTCTAAATCCACCTGAGAGAAGAGCAGGTCGGGCTGCGAGGAGGACATCGCCCGGTCCGAAGCGACGTCCTCCTTCCGTTTCATCTTCTTGAACATCCAGCCGCCTCGCTCCTTCTTGTCCTCGGGGTCTCTGGCGCCCAGCTTGGGGCTGAGCAGCGGCTTGGCTCTGGCTTGAATCTGTTTCCACATTTTGTTTTGTTGGGACGCGCAGGTCTCGTCCGCGTCGCTGCGCTCCATGCCCGCCTCCTGCACGGGGCTCAGACAGGCTGCACACCGACAGGACGGGCTACTGATCCGTACTGATCCGATTCATCCGCATTACACCGAGGGGAAACACTCACACACTCAACACTTAACATATTTTCGTGCTGCGCGGCTGGCAGTCAGGGTCGTCCAGCCCCCTTCCACGGAAATATTGACACCAGCAGGCGGGGTAGGGGGACCGCAGGGCCCGCCTACACGCTGGGGTGCGGGACTTTAACATGACATGTTACTGTATATACAAGCTGTTGCCACAATGCAAAAGCCAAAAGTCTATTAGTGCATCATAATATCAGTATTTATACAAAGAGTGCACACAAATCTGGGGACCTCATGTTGCTCTTTATAGCTTTTAATTATTTTATTAATATACCATTTGATATGTAACTGATTGCCAAGCTAAAATATTTGAACTGGATAGCGAATGGAAAGCTTCATAGTTCAGTAGTTGTCCGTGTGTTGACGCCACTGACAGGTGACCAAATGAAACGCACCTTGATGACAATGACATGAAAATTGTTGGAAACATTTGGGAGAATTTTATGTACACGACTCAAGCAAATGTATCACATACAGTCCCCCAGATCAAAAGATGAGTATGAGACAAGAGTTCAGAATTTCAGCTCTCATTTCACATCTAGATGTGTGAAACAACTCAGGACATACCAGCTTTTGTTTGAACCCACCCATTTTTCAAGTGAGCAGAACTATTGGAACATGTGACTGACAGATGTTGGCTTCTCAAAGTGCCATTTTAATTTTAAGTGCTAAGAATTCATGAAATTTACTCCTACTTTTAAACTTAAGAATAAAAGCAAGTTATCAAATTTCTCAAAGCTAAGAATCACTATTACTCTCACAGTTCATGCAAATAGCCGGCAATAGGCCTACAGGAGGTGCATTTGATGGCGCTCATATGAAGATAAACTTGTTTTAATCTTTCATTTATTAATGTGTGGGTCTACATCATAATGTATTATCTTGGAAATTCATTATTGTTAAATGTGTGTTGAATATAAACTCCTCTGAGGAATTTCACCATTCAATGTGAATTTATCTGAGAATATTCTTAAAGAAGGAAATCTCTTCAGTGATTGGTCCTTGGCGACATCGTCATCCAAAATCCTGTTTGCGGCGCAGCAAAGTGTCGTGAATCAGCACTGAGAGTGACACTTACGATTTAGTCCAACACTTCACTCAAATTAGGACTATGATGCTTGATAACTAACTTTTAAGCCCAGCTTTGAGCAAATAATTTTTTTACTCTTAAGTCAGTTCTTTAGCAGTGTTCTTATGAGTAATTCTGAGAAGCTTGATAAATACGGGCCCAGCTGTTGCCTTTTAGGTTGATTGTCCAAACATTAAATAGCTCTGCATGACTAGTCTAAGTTTTCCTTCTTGGTTCAAACCTATAAAGACTGCATTTCCTGTTAAAGAGGATAAACCAACATGAAGAGCAGAGAAATGCATTGAAACTAACGGGGAGGAAGTTTATCATGCAGCAGGACAATGAGCCAAAGCAAACTGCCAACAAAACAAAGGACTTCATCAGGGGGGAAGAAGTGGAAGGTTTCAGATTGGCCAAGTCAATCACATGACCTTAACCCAGTAGAGCTGCATTTCACCTCCTGAAGAGGAGACTGAAGGGAGAAACACCCCGAAACAAACAAGAAGTGAAAGAAGCTGCGGTAAAAGCCTGGAATAGCATCACAAATGAAGAAGGCAACAGTTTGGTGATGCTGAGGCTGTTATTGCAAGCAAGGGTTACATCACCAAATATTAAATGTTATTAACTTTAAGATTATTTGTTCCATTTGTTTTGCTCACCTCAGAATGCTGTGGTCTAATACAAACGGTGGTTTGTCCTGAGTTGTTTAACACATCTAGATGTGAATACCAGGAAATAAAAACATCTTTTGATCTTAAACCCAAATGTCTTCAGTGAACAACAAAAACAAAGGGATTTGCCTTCCCGTTCCAAGACTTTAGGAGGGGACTGTATGTAATTTTGTCATTTTAATGCATAAAAGTTTGTTATTTAACCAGGCCGGATACTTGAACAACGTCTTATTTACAAGGACGGCCTGGCAAGAGGGGATTTGCCTCATGAGCCTCTTGAGGGGAGTGGATAAAAGTTTAGATCCAGACAAAACATTCAGGGTTAAAGAACAGACAAGGCAACAACATACAGAGGTAAGAGATTAAAGAAAGAAGGTACAGTTACAGTGGGGGTATAAATAATGCAGAGTAGGAAACCCAGAGAATTGAAAAAGCCTCTGTATATTGATCTCAAAGGAAAAGGACTTAGCATATATTTAAAACAGTTTTAAACAGGCATAAAAACACTCCATAAATTATTGTCAATTATATTGTTCTTAAAAAGCGGTTAGAGAGATTAAGAGGTCCAGTTTAACTTTTTTTGTTATATCCTTCCAGTAATTGCATGCAGAGAGTCTGAAGGCCATATATATTATATACAGAGGAGGTTTTTAAGGTATGGTGGCGTAAAACCAACGAGGGGTTTAGAAATGAAGGTAGCCAATGCAGTTTTCATCTAGTCTGTGGGGACGGCCAGCCTATGAAGCAGTATATATTGCAGTGATGCGTTTTGAAAGGGCCATTGGAGGCAAATATGAAGCGGTACAGAAAATCTAGTCGCTAAGGGCACCCTTAGAAAAAAAGTCAGTACAGGACATCTCCAAAGTCCAGCATGGGAAGTTCGGTCAAGATGGAGTGAACGACGTCCGGCTGAGATACATGAAGGCATATAAGCGACTTTGTGTAACGCCTGAAAGAATAAAATTAATTCTATGACGAATGAAAAGTTGAACTCATAAGCAGTAAAATACTTGCTGCTACAGCCTCACTTGATGTGACCAGTAGCTTATCGTGGCTCAAGTTAGAAAAGTTCAGGTAGATATTACCGGGTCACTACTGTGGTCACAGCAGTCACCTTTAAGCAAGAGGGTAACTTTTAATAACATTTAAAGCTGCACTAAACAATGTTTTTATAATTTACAATAAAATAATGGGTCAAATTGCATAATGTATAAAGGGCTGCTTGTATCAGGTCGACAAAAACATCCCTCAAAATCACGGTTAATGTTTCTGAATGATTGCTAACGTACTGCTAACATGATCATGTGTAAATATTGTGTTTACACCCCAAGTGGCTATACAAACAACAATAAATGCAGGTTTTGTCAGGAATGTATTAACAGGATAATCTTACATTGTATGGAGCACTGCTGTGGCGCCTCTGCTATTTCAGCTGTCTGCTGATATAAGTTGTCTGGCCTTAAACTGGAATTGGTTTGAGACCCTCAAGTCCTTTTTATATGTACAAATATCTGTTCAGATTTTGGTCATTTAAAAACAAATAGAGAATTATCCACAACCTCGGGTTAAAAATCAATGCACATGTTTACTGATTGATATAAAAAGACACTTTTAGATGAAAAGAACGTTTTTATTTATTTTACTGTAACACTGTTTTTCATTGTTGGGGACTAGTTTCTGCTCTAGGAGTTCAAATCCCCCCCGATATGGTCACTGTAATCACACCTGTAACATATGTAATATTTATGGGAAGGTGGAGATTTTAACATATTACACACAAAAAAAGTGCTCTGAAAATGTTATTAACGTCTGTAGGATTGTTTTTCCATGCATTTCTCTGATGTTCAGTTCACTGCAACACTTTCTGCAAGGATTCAAAAAGGATGAGATGCATGTGTTAACCAGAAAACGTCCGCATGAGCAAACACACACATTCACGCAGCAGCAGCAGCAGCGCCGAGGTTTTAAAAGAGGCTGATGGTGCGTCGCTCTCGTTCTCGTGTCACGTGCCCATTCTGAGTGGCTGGTTTGTAGCTGTGGGTGTCATCAGCTGTCACTTTGTGAGATTTTGGTTCTTACATTTTGGACACCATCAGAATTTTGATGCAGAAGCTCTTCTGGCATTTCTGGCAGCCCAGAAATGGCACTGTGGATAGAGGTCTTCATGCACCGCGTATCACTGCTGCTTTCTTGACATACACTACTGCTTACATTAAATAAATTCATGCAAAAAAGGGACATTTTAACGTGATGCCCATTGACATTTAGCCACTGTTAAAAGAGTACTCCACAGATTTAGCATTGCTCTCCTATAACAATGGTATATTATCCTATATATACAGTATATATCAAGATTAATCGCATGATTTTCTTGCAATTAATCACATTGTTATGCACAAAACTGAATAATGAATTCTAAAGTAGTCTATTGTGCACTTTTAATTTAAATGTACTGCTATATACACAAAAGTGAAATAACATGTGGTTTGCAAACACTTTAAAGAAATAAGGTGCTTTTTACCAGCAGTATTCCCTTTACACAGCAGCAACAAAATATTTCTTGTAGATCTCAACTTAAACATTAATGTAATCAAATCAAATATTAAACCAAAGCTATTTGCCACAGCCAGGGCATTACCTTTTATCTAGCTTGTTAAAACAAGTTAGAGTCCAGAGCCACGATCAGAACATCAGAACAGGCTCCTTCTGAGCAGCAGGTGAACATTTATAAATCAGCAGAAACATTTTGTGCAGTCTGTGTTCAGTAAAAGTGTCCCTGTTAGAGGGAGGTGAAGTGTTCGCCTCACGCAGACGCCCGCCGCCGAAGCTGAATTGTGTTGAACTTTTTGTACGCGCAGCACAGATCATTGGAAGAGAGCCTGATCTTTGCTGTTTGTGAGTTTCCAGAATCTAAATAGTTATCAGGACATCAACAGGAGGGAATTCACACGGCAAAACTAGATGAAGGCCCATCAGGTGAAGTTATGTATAATTAACTTAAGTTAAATAGGCTACAGCTGTGTAGCGCACAGAAGCTGTTGCCATGGTTACTCTCAATAGAGCGCCTGCCGTTTACTCGCGGAGCGCTGTGTCGCTGTATCCAGCGTAGTCTGCTGAAGCCTCCTCCGCTGCTTGTTTGGGTGGACGATTTGCAGGCTGATCAACATCCTGCCCCTCCTGTGACCCATGACTGCATGTGTATTCAGAGCCAACGAGAAACGGACTTTCAAAATAATAATACTTTTTAAAAAATGTGTTAACGTGCGATAAAATAATTGTCAGCGTAACGTGCCCAGCCCTAATAAATATATATATATATATATATATATATAACAAAAGATCCTAATCGATGCAGCAGAACCAGAAATGTCTTCATTTTTATTCTGCAAATTCTTCCTTGTCAAAACCTGGCAGCTATATTACCCACAATGCAACTCAACTGGCTTGAGATTTGGGTGTGCTAAATCTGTGTTCAGAGACCAGAGAGCAATTACATACAAAGTCCGTGCAAAGACAGCAAGTTGAAGATGTTTTTCCACACGAGTGAGAAATTCATGTGAAATTAAATGTGACGCTGTGTTGCGAAAGCCAATCAGAGGCCTCACAGAAAATCAGAAAGGGAGGATAAACTGACTGTCGACGTCTGCGGGCACCCGGAGCTCTAAGGTTCAATGTCTTTAATGTACAGAGACAACCGCACAGGACGGTAAGTTCTGACAAGAAGTATCTGTTACTTGATTCCAGCTCTCGGTTGTACTTCAGTATGAACCAAGTTAGCATTAGCGTTAGCTGCCTTTCCTGATTCTCCCATTGGCTATTAGGGGGAAATATTCTCAGGTTGAGAAACACTCCAACGGCCGTATTTGCACGAGTAACACACATTTATCCTAGTAGCAGCAAATGTAGGCTGGAGCCTCCAACGCTGGCTGCACAGTAGAGGATCACTGGGCTGACTTTGGGTCTAAGTCACTCTCTCAGGTTACAAACAGGTTATCGGCCTGCAGTGTGAAAGGGTTTACGGACATAATCTGAAGGTTGCCGACGGGATCAGAGGCTCCTCCGATATCGAACATGTTTGATATTTACAATTTCACATCGGGGAGCCTTTGATCAGAAACTTGCAACAGCCAATGAGAGCGAGCTGAACAGGAAGCGTCACCAGCGTGTTGTGCATCTGCTCGCACTATAAAATGTATAAACCTGCTGATTCCCTCTCCTCAGCCTGCAGTTCATCCACAGTTTGAAGTAAGCTCAGTTGTCAAACTTGTAGATCTTCAGCCCCCACAGCTCTAAACATCTGAAAACACTCTTTGACGTGTCGAATCGCTGGGCTTCCCCTTTAATGCTCGAACATTGCCCAAAGCTACGCTTCACTGTTTGCCATAGCAGTTTCGTTAGCTTAGCTGTCCTTCCAGTAAAGCATTCATCACATCAGTAACAGCTCAGTATAATTTTACCGCATTAGCTACCAGTTTAACCAGTACCTGCCGGTGACAGATGGCGACAGCGACTTATACCAGCAGCCCGCAGCAACGAATTAGTACGTAGTATGCGCCATTGCAACCCAGCTGTGTCAAACAGCAGCGATACACCACTAAGACTCTGGATGTGACACTACAACTTATTCTGTGCTTTAACGTCATTTTCCATAACGACAGCCGTCACAACGGCCAGGAGCACTAACAAACCAAGAGGCATCGATCACCCTGACAACGACCCCGCAGAGGTTAAACAGCCGGGCAGTCAGAAGTGAAGAAGCTTCTCGGATGAGACACAAAACGTCTTCAAGTATCTTCAACCAAGTCCGGGTGACCTTGATTTAAATACTCCTCATATTAATCCTAATAATTTTTAATTCATTGCACATCACCTGTTGTTTTGACGTCTTTTGCGAAGCGTCTTGTAATTGATATATGAGCAGTGCTATTTAATGAAGTTATTATTATTATGACCAGATTTCTTCCTATACAGAACGTGCGTACAGTATGTCACTGAAAACAAAGATGCACACCATCAGCGACTTTCTTTTTAGACATCACTCCACACAATCAGTGCATAAACTAAATGACTTCAGGGTGTGGTGCATTGGTTTCATTTAGAATTTCAAGTAGAAAACATACTTGGAAATCATCTAAGGTGAGAAAGTGCAATCTACTCTCTATTGCCTAACTACACTGACTTGGCTAATGACTGCATTAAAAAAGCAAAGTTTAGATAAGGGCGAAACACATCTCGCAGCATGCCGTCATTCCTCTCCGGTTTCTTTGTGTGATTTGAGAATCGGGTGAAGTATTGACTGTAATCATGTAAAGATTTCTTCCTCTCATCCCCTGAAGAGATGACCCTTTGATGAAGCTTTCAGTCCATGCAATGTGTTTTGTCTCCTAAATAAAAAGGTATGAAGGTCACAGGTGTTAACATCAGCGGTCACAGGTCCTGCTCGTGCATCTGCTGCTGCATCTTCTGAAGCATCTGCTGCATCCTCCTCAACTGCAGACGAGGACGAGACAGAGAAAAGGGAACGAGATGAGAGACTGCTTGCATAACGGCACACATATGGGTCAGCATTTCACATCAAACATGGTTATCTAACACCTGCTGCGATGCATTTTTCAGAGTCCAGATTTTTTTTTTCCACTCACTTCGTCGTCTTTCATTTTGATGAGTTTCTCTGTCTCCCCATCCGGCGTGGACAGCGGCAGGATCGGGATGGGGCTCTCCACCCGCTTATCTGCGTTCATCTTACTGTGAGATTAAGAGATAACCATGAAGCATTACATCTGCGAGCCACTGGTTTTTCTTTGTTTCACCGCTGCGGTGACCTGAATTCTGCAAGTTAGGAAAAATTATTCGGGAAATCCCAGGGAATACTGTTTTGAAAATGGTTCATACGGTCGCAGGATTACCTGGATTTCTGCAGAAATGTGATCTGATTTTCATCTAAGTCACAACAACAGACAAACACAGTCTGCTTAAACTAATACCACACAAACAATTATATGTTTTATTGAACACACTGAGTAAACAGTGCAGGGTATGTTGAAAATAGACCTTATGGGACACGATGAAGAGGACTGTCGACCACTCAGTGAGCATTAGTTATATTTAATATATTTAGCTCTTTGGATTTGGACCACGAGCCGTTTTTTGCCTACCTCTCGTGTCTGGGATACGATCCATTATCAAATAGAGATGAAGATATATTTCAAGCATTTATCCTAAAGCAACTGATATTTTGGTTTTATTACATGTGTTCTTGTCTCGAGTCTTTGTCCATTTTTGTCTCAGATGAAAACACATGCGATCCTGTTCCTACCTGGTCATGGTCTGGATGCACTGCGCTCTGTAGTTCTCGTAGTGACAGTCGCTGGTGATGTCCTTGAGGTCGTTCATGTGGGTTCTTATCAGCATCGTCCGCAGCTTCACAAAGTCGCAGTGGGACGGGTTCTCCACTGCGCACAGGAAAAGATTAACATCAGGGCGGGCAAGGGAAGTTAAAATGAGTTTTGCCATGGAAACTGAAATCTCAAAATCGCTGCAGAGAGCTGGGACAGACGGCTTCAGAGAGTTTCTCACCCTCCACAATGCCCCATGGGTAGAGCCTCCCTCTCACTCTCTGACCTCTGGCCTCGACCACCGTGTTGCTGCCGATCACTGCGAACGGAGTGCTGTCCTGCATCACAACAGCAGCAGAGGACGTATTCAGAGCCTTTACTTACAGTACAAGTAGCAATGCCACTAGAGCTGCAACAAGTAGTCGATTCATCGATTAGCTGTCAACTGTTAAATAAATAATTTGATAATTGATTAATCGATCAAGTCATTTCTCTGAGAAAAAATGTCCTAATTCTGATTCCAGCTTCTCAGATGTGACAGAAAACTGAATCTCTTTGGGTTGTGGACAAAACAAGACACGGAGGACGTCATCTTGAGCTTTGGGAAACACTGGTCGACACAAACAACTAATCACTTAATCATGACAATGAGGATAATCATTAGTTGCAGCCCTAAATGCCACCATGTAATAGTTACATTACAAGTAAAGGTCCTGCAATACAAGTATTATAACGCACATAAAGTATCACAAGTAAAAGTACTCATTATAGATGCATAATGGCTCCTGTTGTGTTCTATTTTCATATATTTTGTAATTAAATTACAACTGATGCATTGCAGTGATCCCAACCAGGGGTCATTGCAGTTTCCAGGGGGTGCAGGGAAAGATCAGTTAATTAACTAAAGCCAACTAAAAATTCAAATTGTGAAACATATCAATATATTTGTGTAAAAGTAGAAAAATAAGTTTGCTCTCATGAGCTAAATTAGCGAGCTCAACGTAATGAAGCTAAAAGTAATAGTTTGCTTAAAGTAGGAGATGAATAGCTTCTTACACTCCAAGTGGTTACATCATCTTAGATTACATAAAATCTTAATCTGTTAAGTAACGTAAAACTTCAATTAATAGCCCGGACTTTTATAAACTAGCATCTATTTGATTCCTTTATTATGCAGGTAAATCTGAATGAATAATACTTTGGTGGCAATTGAATTGTGGAGAATCTAACGGATCTAACAATGTGCATCATGTCCATACTGACAAAAGTTAGAACATTCATATTTGCATATGCGTGATCTATAAGAAGTTTAACTCAAGCAGGCGTTAAATCTCTCAGTCTGTTTCTGGTGCTCACACTGAACCTTTCCACGATATTCCACATTTTTTTAGATGCACCTGTAGTACTTGAGTAAACGTACTTTCCACCACTGCAGAAATCCAAAGTGCCTTTTTACATAACGATCAGAAATAATGGAGCGTGTGATTTAGACTCATCAGATCAGAACCGAGCTCACCTTCAGCTCTTTATCTTGCCGCTTGAACTCCTCGTCCTCATCAGAGTCGCAGTCGGGGAACTGATAGATCTTTATCCCTTGCTTCTCTATCTCCTCCCTCAGCTGGAAGAACAACACACACACATAAGAGATGTGACGGATAACAGCAGCAACACACACATACACCCTCCCACTGAGAGCTAAAATTTATCAGGAGGTCGCTGCCCTATAAGAAAGATATACAACTCAGTACAGATATGATCTCTGTGGAGAAACGTCTGACTCATCCACCACTCAAATCAGCCGAACCCAAATCTATGCTTGTTTCCATTCGTCCTAACTCAGTTCTGTGCACGAGTTTTAGGCAGGTGTGGAAAAACAAAAATGCAAAATGTGTGATCAGGTAAAATTATACTATAGGTACAATTTTTACAATTACACATTTGAAGGAACTCGGCAGGTAGGTTGTCCAGAACATCATGGAGAACCATTTCTTCTGTGTATTTAGGCGGCCTCATTTGTTCCACAGGTTTTTTCCCCATAAATTTATTACTGTTCTAAAAAAATTGCCTGCAACAAGAAATGTTAACTAACTAAATGAAAATGTTTTATAGGCTCAGTGTGTAATATTTCTGAGGATCTATTGACAGAAATGCAATTTAATATCCCTAACTATGTTTTCAGTGGTGTATAAAGACCTCACATAATGAACCGTTATGTTTTATTACGTCGTTTGGTCCGGACTTTCAGACTTTTCAATTTGGTCCGAACCAAAGTTGCAGGTGTGAAACCAAACAGACGAAATTTGGTCCGACGAAAAGAGGTAGTCTCGGTCCGGTTTCTGGTGTGAAAGCATTTTTTGGATGGTTCGGACTTTCAGACCATTTACAGGAAGTTTAGTGGTTGACGTGTGAACCGGAAACTAACAAATGCATTGAAGTAAGGACACGATTATAAATCTCCCGTGACAGCTCGTCTTTTCAAACAGACGGTCACTATAGAAGCACAGTGCCACAAACATCTTTGGTTTCTCCTCAAACGGAGGTGCAGAAGGATCGCTTGCTGTCTTCTCCTCCTGTCTTGTCGGCGAAGTTATAACGTTCACGCAACAAGGACGCTTAATTGCGAATTTGAACTAGCCTTCAGTATAGTTGGTGCTGCAGGTAGTAATGCCATAATAATTTTATTCATTCATTCTTGTCAAAGATACCCGCAGAACTGTTTAAAAAATGTTAAAACGTTAAACCGCTGTCTGCCTTGAAATGTCTGCCTGGGAGAGACCTTGCTGATTCAGTTCAACTACCTTGTGTCTTGTTGCTGTGCTTGTTCTTCTGACAGTCAACTCTTCAGCAGCCTCACCTTGTAAGATGACTGTTCCTCACCCAGATGGATTCCTCCTACACAGCTGTTTCTGTTTCGGTTAATAATTGTGTTTCAACCAACATATTAGCACCTGGTGTAATTGCTTAAACATACACCTGACGATATGCCTACAAATCCCCTGACTTTGTGCAAACATACCTAGAAGAACCGACGCTGTTTCTGTTAATCTATTACCGTGTCTATTTTTGAAAGCATTTTCTACACCTGCCTTTGCCTTTGTCATTGTATATAAATGAAATCACTGAATATCCAGCTGAAATTGATGCAAACAGAAAGGTCCGTGTTTAAGTCCTGCCTTTTACTGTGTACATATTAAGTTGTCATGACCTGTATTTAGAGATTTTACATCATATCCCATACATCAGGTAGACTGGTCTAATCCGGTGGTCATGGATCATGTATGTAATCTGTCATATAGTTTATATATTTTATGGTCTTACCCTCTCTTTGAGTTTTTTTATCTCGCTGGGAGTGAGGCAGTCGGCCTTAGCGATGAGAGGAACGACATTAACTTTATCCTGCAGGGCCTTCATGAACTCCATATCAACAGGACGAAGCCTAGAGGAGGACATGAACTTTACTGAGCATTTTTAATCCGTGCGTGCGCATTAACGCCATGTGTGCATATGAAAGTGTGTGTACTATTGTGTATTACCCGTGTCCAAACGGAGGAATGAAGTAGAGGCAGCAGTGCACTCTGTTGTCCTGGATGTTCTTCCTGTTGAGTCCGCTCTCGTCTCTGAAGTAGTGTTCAAACTGCTGATCGATGTAGTCTGTGACTGCCCTCCAGCTGCAAAACACAAACAACACGCAGTCTGTGTATTTACGTGTTTTTACTACAATACTAACTAACGGTTAAAGGAAGTTCAACATTTTGGGAAGAAAATCTAGGTGCTTTCTCACTGCCTGTGTGAAAAGCCACAGCGGGCACGCCTGTGTTGTGTTAAATGTAATCGCGTCGAATCGACGGCGTAGGCGACGGGGCTACGCAGAGGCTACGGCGTCGCCTGACGTGCACCTCCTCAAAAATGTAACTACACGTCGAGGCGACGCGGACCGGAAGCACCGTGACTGGTCGGCTGGGCAGCAATGCCCCCGAGCGACCGGAAGTGCCCCGTGCTTTGTAGTAACTTTTACTCGCGGCCAAAACAGCGTCTGTAACACGGTGGATCAATATGTTTGAATAGAAATGACTTGTTTTACTATCAGAAAGTTATCTATTTGGGGGCAGGGGGCTGGAGCCAATCCCAGCTGCTATCGGGCGAAAGGCGAGGTACACGTTGGACACCAGTCCATCGCTGGGCCACACATAGACAAACAACCACTCACACTCACACCTAAGGACAATTTAGGGATGTAGGGTCACTAATCAACCCAGGCTGCATGTCTTTGGACAGTGGGAGGAAGGCGGAGCACCCAGACAGAACCCATGCAGACACGGCGAGAACACGCAAACTCCACACAGAAAGGCCGCGACCTTCTTGCGGTATGGCGACAGTGCTAACCACTGCACCACCGCGCTGCTCCCACTCGGTTGATAACATTTGAAAAGGCTATACCAGCCGCACGTATACAATTTTACCCCCATTCACGTTAGCGGAGGGCTAAACAGGAAGTTAGCCTGCTCAGCCGGCAAAAGCCAGCACAGCGGACGCTGTAGCGCTACTGCTGACTAGCGTTTGGGGGTGTACTTGCAGAATGACGGATACACCGGCGCACAAGTATAAATGCCGGGCTATGTGCGTAGCCTACGGCGTAGACCCTACGCAGGAGTATAAATGTAACTGTCATTTTCTGCGCCGCTAGATCGCTATGTGAAAGCACACATGGTTGCCGCAAATGTTGGTTTAGTATAATAAATATTGTACTTTCTCCGCTACTTTATTTATCTGACAGCTTTAGTTTCTAGTTATTTTACAGATGTTTACATATAAAACAAAAACTATAAATGACAGAGACGCAGATGGTTCTTTAGGAACGTATCTGTCCATTCACCAAGAATCTGGGTGTGATCTTTGACTGTGCTTTTAAATTTGAATAACAGATTAGTTCACCTTTAAAAGCCAGAATTTTTCAGCTGAGACTGTTGGCTAATGTCAAGCTCTACCTGCCGCACAAAGACTTAATAATCCATGCATTTATAACGCCTCGACGAGAGTACTGTAACTGTATGTTGGAGCGGCTCAGTCGTCTCTCCATCGGTCAGTCCAGAACGCAGCTGCTCGACTTCTAACTGGAACTAAAAAGCGCACATTACTCCAATTTTAGCCTCGATCTACTGGCTTCCTGTGCGCTTTAGGATTCAAGATTTTATTACTTGTTTTTAAGATTTTAAATGGGTTGGCACCTTCTTATTTCTCAGAACATGTACACACTCCTGTCAACGCACTGAGGTCATCCAATCAGATGCCAGATCCAGGTTAAAAACTAAACGTGACTTTATAGTCTTTATAGTAGCTGCGCTTAATCTTTGAAATATTTTACCTGTTGAAATAAGAACTCAGACTTCTGACAAGTCCCAACTCTATTCATTGGCCTTCAAACAGAGTTGAGTTTTGACATTATTATTATTTGTTGTGTATATTTGTTGTGTATTCTGAACCTGGAAAGCACTTTGGTCAACTTATTTTTAAATGTGCTATATAAATAAACTGGAAAACGTATGAATGACTGTCGATTAAAATACCCAACACAATATAAAATAGTAAAAATATGCTTCACCTCGACCTTCTACAGTAACAGTAAGACGCTGCTTGCATCAGAAACAATACATCATTATCATATACAACAGAATATCACAGGGTACTTTTACTTTAAGTATGTCAAGTACATTTTGCTTATAGTACTTCTACTTAAAGAGTAACTTCTGTATTTTTCAACCTGGACCTCATTTCCCATGTTTTTGTGTCAATGTGACAAATTAGGACAACATTTTTTAGAAAGTGAGCGCACTGCAGTCGGCAGCAGCGAAACAGGACAGCGACCTGAGTGCTTGATTTTGTCCTCTGACAGGCTCAGATTGTTATTGTGTGACTGACATCATTAATGGAAACGATCTCTAGCCCTTTCACACATAGTGGTCACTGCAGTGGACAGCTATTCAAAAGCCGTTTAATTGGTTCTGATGGCCTAGTTGCATATCAGCCACTACATGGGATGCTAGTGCGTCTACAGTTAACACTGAGACTTTGTTTTTCTTGAAAATACTTGATGTGCACAAACTGTTTTGAATGTTAATCAATGGATTTATGTTACACTTAATATTTTGTGCAGATTAGTTCCATTATATGAGTAAAATTTAGTGTCTTGCAGCAAGTGACAGAAAGGCATTCAGGATAATGGAGCCAGTTCCATCACAATCAAGTGAGGGTTATACTAGTGGCAGCGATGATGAATGGTGGCCAGAAATAGGACAATCCCTAAATGCTAGCAGCAGTGATAGTGGATATGATATGCTGAGAAAGAGAGGCTGAGGAGTCAGAAGTGAGGTTCAGCGTTTTTTCATTGCATTAAACAGTATTAGAATATGTTAAAATATGTGAACCCATTAGTTTAACAGCATTAAAAATATAGTTTTCCCATACTATGTCATTTCATTCATTGGTTTGTTAGATACATACTTCTTCAGTTAAAACCTTACACGCACGCTGTCCAACCCAGTGGACATGTAAAAAACTCCTTGTGTGTTTAAAAAAAATGAAATTCTAACAAAAACACACAGGGAAAAAAATCCTGACAGTGGTGATAATTCATGCATGAAAGGGCTGGAGAGATACCATCATTATTTACCATTATTTATAATTAAATAGCCAGGAAGCACAAGGTTACCCAGGCTGACATGATGTATATGACACCAGCTTATTCTCTAATGAAAAATACTACAAACCAACAAGAACAAGGGAAAGAATTATGAGGAACATTTTAAGGAGCGAGTCAGGAACTGCTTCTGAGAAACAACACAGATCAATACAACGGGGTCAGAGACACAGTGTGAAATGTAATTAATGTTCTAATGAAAACCAGATCAGTTCTGCGGTTCTATCCAAGAGGAACAACAGATCGAACAGACAAGACAGAAAAATAAAAAGCACACACTGCATTTGGCATCGTAGGCTAGCCGGCTGTGCACAGGCGCAATTAAAATGTAAGTCCATAGGATCCGCGAGGGGAAATCAAAAACCAGGTTGAAACATAATGAAAAAGAGGCACAGAAAGTCCTCTAAATGAAACGATAAAATACATTGATTGTAAATATTCACTTTAACAACACATCTTTTCTCTGTGTCAGTTTTATGATGCTGTGGTTAGGATTAGGGATTAAAATGACTACTTAAGGTTGGAAGACCTTCGCCATGATGGTTTCAATTATAAACACTTGGTTAAGCTCAGGGAATCAACCTCAAATACTCAGAAGAGCGCCAAATGTGGATTCATCCGCTGCTGAAAATAGTCCCTAACAAATGCCCTAGTTCCTCCTTTTTGTTGATTTAAAAACTACAGTGATCAGCTGTTTGAGGAAATGACCGCGCCTTTTTAAACATGAAACTATACATTTGTGTTTTTAAAGGATAACTAATTAATTAAAGCCACGGAGAGAAAGTACTGAGAGACGGACATGTTGTTGGTTTCTGTTTTTTTCATGGGATTTGTTGTCAATAAGAAAAATAAATAAGAATTAAAATGACTAAACGATATGTAAGGAGAACAACTGCACTTAAAGCTCCCTCCATCTAATATTGTTCACCATCCGAGCTTCCAAAGCTGCTTTTATTGACCTCGTCTTCGTGAACACTCACCACTCAGTGTTGTTGACTGCGTCTCCAAAACCCGGGGTGTCCACGATGGTCAGTTTCAGCTTCACCCCCTTCTCCTCGATGTCCACCGTGTGCTTTGTGATCTCCACCGTCTGACTGATTCGCTCTGAAGGGCAAAAACATCACACACAGATAAACTGTAGATATTGTAGAAATGAGAACTGAGGGTATATTGCGTCATAAATCAGTTTCCAATATAACGTAGTAAATATATATGTATCGGTGAAAAGTTAAGAAAACGATTAAGTATAAATGTGCCAATAAATTGCCTTTTTATATTGAGTTTGGTGTTTTTAGTAATTAGTATATTCTATTAGATATATCTTTATTAGACTAACATATAGTTGCATGCTATATGTAGTAGCATATTCATATAATAATGTTAGTATATTCATATAATCTTTTTTACTATATTGTAACATAACAAGAGGGCTAGAGGTTGCTGCTGCCGCCGCCAGGGAGTCTGTGGTTAAATAAGAACATGCTGAGGTCAGATGCAGAGGCAATGATGTAACCGTCCACACGAGCAAAAGAATATGCTCTAGAGGGACTGAGTGTGTCTGAACAAGGTCTTTTTAATTTTTAATTATTTAATTTAACCTTTATTTAATCAGGGGGAAAGACCCTTGAGATAAAATCTCTTTTTTCAAGAGCGCCCTGGCCAAAAAAGGCAGCAGGACAAACATAAAACGACTCAATATAATCAAAATATCTACCCGTTTTACCACTATACATATGCAACAGTAACAGCCCACTATCAAAACCAGTACATTAAAACGTCTTCATGCAGATAAGTACGCTAATGAAATGCCTGCTCATTTAAAACATTTACATTCATGTTTAAAAACCTTCCCAAAAGGCACCAGCACCTCCAACCGGAGTTGGTGTGCAGCATGAGAAGGCGGTCTTTCCCAACATAAATTTTAAAAGCAGCAGTCTGTTGAACCGCAAAGCTAAGGAGGTTACTGATGTAATGTGGTAATTTGCATCTGAGTGCACAAGACTTGAGCTGTGATGCAAATATGGACAGTCCAGTAGAGGAGTTTCAGGAGGAACAGAGAGAAGACATGCACATAAATAAAGCTGGTAAGGACATAATTGTAAGGGCAAAAAGAGGAGGAGGACAGTAGAGAGGGGAGAAGGTAATAAAACCAGGCTGCAGCAACCTCAGCTTCAGTTCTGCATTTTGGGACCTGATTGGTGGAAACTCATTGTCATGTCTTGCAAAAAAAATTAATTAACTCTTAGCTGAACCGAACGTTTGGGTCTTCTGTGATGCATTCATTTCTTATGTTTCCATTGAGCTTCATTTATAAATTTATTTCCACAATATTTGACAAAGTGCGTGTAAATTGTGATCGGAGATTCGAGAGGTGTGGAGACGCCTGATTGGTTGGTGACTCACCCTCTGCATTGAGCAGTTTCCTGTCTTTATGCAGGTCAGTGAGGAACAGGCTGTTCACCAGAGTGGATTTACCCAGACCAGACTCGCCTGTAACACACACAAAAACAATTCATTGAACAGGCCCTCGTTACACATCACCATCAGGTTTGTCTGGTAGAAAGTCTTACGGCGTTCTGCAGAAAGCTCTTTGTGATCTCATAGTAACACTATAGTTAACGAAGCAGGAACCTCCAGCTCAGAAAAGTGAAGCCATGCTAAAGAGCCTTAAACCTGCATTCTCTCTAGCGGCCAGCAGGGGGCGACTCCAGCGGCTGATTGTCTAGAAGTCTCTGAGAAAATGTTTCTACTTCTCAGCTGATTTATTCCCTCAGTAAACACTTTCCTGATGAGTTTCTGGTCTCAGTTGTTAGTTTCAAGTCTTCTTCAACACAGCATGATTTTCATTTAGTAAATTATGGTCCCATTCAGAGGAACAGAGACCAGGAAGCAGGGGAGGTTTTAGGGCGGGGCTACCTTGTGATTGACAAGTCGCGACCACGGCGACCTGTCAATCAGGATAGAGGTGAGTTTTAAACCTGAGCCAAAATTAGCATCCTGATTAAAATAACAGTTACCATGAAGTACAGATGCACCTTGGTAACCACGCTAGCTAACGCCACCGTCTCGTCCAAATATGGTCATGTTCGGTGCCTGGTTGCAAAACACCAAGATGCCGACGGAAAAATTGCCAAACTCGAAGCTTCAAAACGTATTTTATACAGTCTGTGGTCTTATGGGAAATGGTGTTTGTTAAAGGCTGCTAAAAAGCAGAAATATTAAATTAACAATGACTACTTTTAAAAAAATATTTTCTTTTTCTAAACCACACAACAAACTGCCTTGAAAAGCCTTTATTTTTAGTTATTTGCAAATTTCAAAAGGGACTTTGAACGAGGTTTTCTTACTTGGAAAATAACGAAGATCTGACTTCACTCCTGTTCTTTATGGAGAGACACTTCAGTTTCATTTTGGGAAATTTAATCTCCAAATACTGCTTACATTTTCACAATTCCTTTTTAAATGTGTTTCTCTCTCGCATCCAAATTTAAGGAGGTGAAATACTAAATCCTCACTTACATGCTTTATTAAGGCATTTTTGTCTTGTCTGTTATTGGACTTTGGATATAAGTGTTGAAAGCTCTGTGTAAAAATTTCAAACTGTCATATCCAGGTAAAATAAGAGTAACTTGTGTCCCCAAGAAGATTTTTGTCATGTTTACTTGACAAAAAACAAGTTTCTTTCTACAGAGTGCTTTTGATCAAAAACCAAAGTAGGCTTCACATAACGCTGTTGTCTCTCAGAAATGCTTCTGAACATTTTCAGATGGATATAAATCGTGACTGAATCCAGATCTTTGCTCTTTTATTTTTGGAGGAGAAGCTTTTGTGATTTATCTTGTTCCCTGAAGATTAGCATTCATGTTTTAACAGAGCCAAACATTTTCACAGGACACATGAAACTTGTGAAAATTGAAATGGTGCGGAGGTGTGGTGATAAAGCTTCATCACAACAAGAACATCCTGCTGCTTTGGTGGGAGTCTTTAAGTGTGAAGAGAGATTAAGAGATATTCACTATTTAGAGAATAGCTGCTGCTAATGTTTGCTTGGCTAATTAGGTTAGTGGTAAGCGTTATTTATTTCCAAACTAAGGCGATGCAGTATGTATGTTACAAGTTACACCAAAAATCCCTTTGCGGGTCTGGAACATCAACCTTGTGTGCACCAAGATGGCACTAACATTGTCAGAGTTTAAGCTAACATTAGCAGCTCTGTCCTGCTCTTTATTGGAATAAGGGAAGTTTAAACTCCAAAATCTCCCGCTAAACTTGCATTAGAGAGTTTTTTGAGTTTGTGTTTTGATCTTTTCTCTTGTAAAAATGAAACATACAGTTTGAAAATAAGAACATTAAATTGTAGGTTTAACCTCCGTGTGTGTGTTTTTCTACAGCACGCATCCAAACCAAAAGAGTTAACAGTTCGAATGAATAACATTTAATTTTTATTTTTAGCTATAATACTGTACAGTAATACTATAGACGGGTTTCTTGTATACAAACACTACTGGATGGGCGCGCAGCTAAGCGCTTCGGTAGCCAGTCAGAAGACTGTAGTCAACCACTGTAATCAACATAGATCACGCATTGTTTGTGCACGACGCGCTGCAGGTCAGCGACACCGTAATGTTGTTCAAGTCAGCTGCTAGCTGAAAGGCTAATGGAAGAACGAGGGAGAGAGGCGTTCTTTCCACAGTTGTGATGTTAAGTACTGACATTAGGCCAAACTTAGCTGTGTCACGCTCAGAGATGCAAACATCATTATCTTCTGTAAACGTTGTGAGACCAGCAAAAATATTTCAACCGCGAACAATTTTGTATTGAAGCATCTGCTAAGAAACGTGAAACTTTGCCTGTAGAAAGAAACTCCGACTGCTGACATTACTGCCAGTGATGCATCCACTCGGCAGGACAGAGTGGCGTTAATCAAAGTTTTGTGTTTTGTAAAAGCACTGAATACTTCTCTTATAAGTGCATGTGCAAAACAGTAATGTTAGTTCAAAAGTCGAGAATCTTTTTTTTATTTTTATCTAAGACAGTGGAGTTAAAAAACGTTATATGCTTCGTAAAAATCTTAGTTTAAAAAGTCGTGAGAGACTTGCTTTGTTTTTTCTATTTGTTTTTTCTATTTCAGCCACGCGTCAGATAAAATGTCGGGAGGGACCTGCTTTGTTTTTTAATATATTTAAAAAGCCTATTTTAGCCTGTATGACACAGCATCCTCTGGTCTGAGAGGCTGCACTGTTTTAAATTCGGCTCCTTGTTGACCCCTCAGGTTAATTATTGTTCCAGTAAAGTGGATTAATTTCTAAAATGCGCTGCTGAAGAGGTTTCCCGTCACTTTTAAGGATGGGGCGCAGTGGTTGAAAGTAATTGTAACTTAACGAGTAACGTGACTATTTACTTTTAATACCCAGTAATAAGTAACGTAATATTGTTACGTTTTAAATTAGTAATAAGTAAAAACTAACCCATTACAATTTCTGAGTAATTTGTCCAACACTGCAGCTAGATATGTCATATTAAACTGATGTGCCGTGAGGACAGAGTGCTGCTTTCTGCTCCCTGGTTGCTCGCGCATCTCTGTGATGACGTTGCACAGAAACCCGTCTATATCTCCAATCCATGATGCCATGGTTCTCCTTTATTTCCATGTTTATTTATTTCCAGCAGGTTAGCTAACTGCAGTTCATTAAATCTGCAAATGATTTAGTGCCAATTTTTTCTGCTAATAAATTTTATTTTGTTTTTTGCCAGCCAAAATTGGTTAATGTGAATCACAGATGACCCTTGCAGACCAAGCTATCCAGCTCCATCCTCTCTTCCACATATGGTCACATCTGGTTCCTAAAAACCAAGATGGCAAAAGCCAAAATGCCAATTTTAAGGCTTTAACACGATGCCGTGCACAAATTAACGGGTGACGTCCACTTCTTTTATATAGTATGGGACAAATACTCTCACCTGCCACCATGAGGGTGAAGTCAAATCCTTTTTTCACGGACTTCCTGTGCACCTGGTTGGGCAGCGTCGCGAATCCAACATAGTCTTTTTCCTAAAAACCAGAACACACACAAAACACATTAGATCAGTTGTAGAGCTTGTGCTTGTAAAGACAGACAGAAAGATATAGGCTGATTATTTTACTCGGTATCTATCAACAGCATTCGTTCTCTATTCTTATCCATTTTAGCTAATGTATTTCAGAAAATTAACTTTAACTTTGATTATTTTTTTCAGTCCATGGCTTATAGGAATCAAGTGTTTCTGCTAAGATATGCTAAGCTAGCTACAGTTAGCGTATAGCTGGGGTGAGGAAAAAGGGTCCTTCTCCAGCAATAGATATTTTTCATTTACAGAAAACAATGGGAAAATCAATGAGTCCCTCCCCTTCCGGTGAACCACCATGGGATCTTATTTCAGAAAAAATATGTACTTTAGTCAACAGTAAGAGACATTTAATGTTTTGATTCTGTTTGAACTGTGCCCTGAATCACACACGATGTTTGTCAATTTAAAAGATCATTCTGAAAGTCAAGAAAAACTGTCTAAGACTGTGTTATATGTATGTCGTTACAGAAGTTAACATTACTGAAGCTAGCGTCAATAAAGCAAATGTTACTGAAGCTAACGTTACTAAAACAAACATTAGTGAAGCTAACGTTTCTTAAGCAACCGTCACTGAATTTATTAACGCTTTTTACATTCACACACTCAGCGTAAGCACTCAAACAGAAACAGATGTTTTTGCAACAATGGATCAGCCATCAGGGTTCAGTATCTTGCCCAAGGACACTTCGACAGGCCACCTGGAGGAGCCGGGGATTGAACCGCCAATCTTCCAATTAAAAGGCAACCCGCTCTTCCTCCTGAGCCACAGCCACCCCGTAACACAACAGTAAGTAAAGTTAACATCACTGTGAAGCTAACGTTACTGAAGCTAACATCAGAGAGCTTCCATGTGTAGATGATGTGATTGGAGAACCAGGAGTCGTTGGATTAAACACACCAGGTGAGAAACATCTGTGCGTGGAACATAAGTTATGTAGCTAGTAGCAAGCAAACAATGAACGTTAGCTCAGCATTATAGTGGTAACACGTTGGTGACGTATATTGTGCACGACGACAGATGGAGTTCACTGAGCGGTTTCACACAAAACTAAATGTTACTTTACAGTTTTACGACAAACTGCAACTTTCTTGACGGACAAAATTACATTTTAAATTGACAAACATCATGTGTGTCATTCAGGGCACAATTCAAACGGGATAAAAAAAATAAGTTGTCTCTTGCTGTTGACTACTGTATAAAAATCTTCCAGAATAAGGTCCCATGATGCAGTAGGGGAAGGACTTTTAGACTCTTTATATACTTAGCTTTAGTTTTAGCTAGCCATGTCTATCTCACAAGCTAGCTTTCAGTTGATATACAATGTCTCACAAAAGTGAGTACTCCCTCACATTTTTGTAAATATTTGATTAGAGTGAGTAATGCAGTAGTACACAGTAAGGATACTGAGTTTTTTGTGTTTTAGGTCTTTTTAAATGTATACGCTGTTTTTATGGAATGTGCACATTACTATAACATAGAATTTTTTATGGTAATAAAAACATTTTGATCGAATATATAATAAGTGCTTTTTGCTTTTGCGGGGCAGCATACGCATACCATAATGGCCGACCCCATTCTGATCTCCCTTACAGCTCTGTGCTGCTGCATGGTACAGCACAGGAGCTGTGTTAGTAGGACATCCCCATGATTCCTTTCATGTATTATTGAAGTGAGGGGGGCGGAGAGAGCCTGAGAGCATGTCCTAAAGGATCTCCAAGTATTCATAATACAGTATGGCAGCATGACAAGAGGAGGGGGTGGGCAGTGTGTGCAGTGAACGCAACAATGCAGAGACATACGTGTGCATCTGAGAGGAAGGAAAGCCAAAAACTACAGAACAAAACAGGGTCGAAGGAGGCAGATAGTGTAACAGCTCCACTTGAGAATACAGCAAGCTTTAATACCAAATCTAATGTAGAGTGCATTAGCTGGACTACTTAGGGAGTGACTAAGGACTTGTGTGTGTGTGTGTGTGTGTGTGGACGTGTTTTTCTCTTTGGGTTCGGTGTTGCTTCCATATTGACATTTTGTCTGCGGATGCGATTGCAAGTCACTCCCACACACACATCGCAAAAATACACAGATCCAGACTGCCGGGTAACACCACCACGCCAACTCAGCCTCAGCGCTGCCGTTTAAGACTGGCATGAAAACCATGGAGCAGGATGAAGGCAAACATTATGAAACTGCTTGTGGGAATTTTGAGGATGTATATCTGAAAATAAAGATGCTCACAGTGAAGGCGGTGAGGAGATGCTGTATGTAAGACATATGAAAGTATCTGGTATTTTTCTACCATAAATCTCCTGAGATTCACATTTCCAACTTGCTTTGGGCAACAGTGTTCACATATTTTCCCTGTTTTCTGACCTTAAGTAGTTTTAAGGTTGAAAAAATCATCTTATTCGATAATGTTTCACAGTATTTCATTATATATTTTAAAGCTGAATCCATTAGTTGACTGAGAGAAAAGTAATGGGCAACTATTTTAATGATTACTTAAACTTTACTTTTAAGCAAAAATGGCAAATATTTTTCTAGCTTCTCCAATATGACAATCTGCTGCTTTTATCTGTTTGATATGATCCAAAACTTCATATTTTCCTGTTTTGCTCAGTTGTTCGGACAAAATAAGACATTTGAAGATGTCGTCTTCATGTTTAAAAAGTTTTACAGGCATTTTTCACTATTTTCTGACATTTCATGGGATAAAACTAAAATAGTTACCAGATTATTGACTGTTAGTTGCAGCGCTATGTCATCTCGTTCCAGCGTTTCAGGGAAGCTATATGAAGTATTCAACTGAAATACTCCATGCCCTTTATGGCTGCTCCAAACTCCAAATGTTTAGCTCGACAGATTCTGTATGTTTGGAATAACCTTTAGCATTTAAAATAAAGTTTTGGAGGGTTTGAGCAAAGTTTGCAAGGGTTAAATTCTCCTACTGTATTGTACTGAGAGTATACAGTTTCTATTATCGGACAGTCACATGCACATAATGCACGATAAACCAAATTTACAGTGTTATGTTTTTTAGTGGTCGACTGATGCTGATATTTAGAGAGCAGGGCGGCCAACGTCCAGTATATAACGCCGATATCAAAACAAAGAAATGTAGGGTATAATTCCACTATTCCTGCAGAATACAATCTAATGTAGATGTAATCTCAGCCAGTAACGTGTTGTTTTAGATGGAAGTTTCCTTAATGAATGGAACAGAAACATACTTTAGGTTCTGCTGTAGATTTCAGAGCGTGGCTTATGTGACGTCATTCAGCTGCTTTATTCTCTACAGTATAGCTATAGATATATTTAACAAGCCGGTGATGCTGTCAGATTGGAGCTGCTGTCATTTAGGAGAAACGTGTTCACATTTAGAAAAGACGATGGTGACTGAGGACATTTAGGGCTCCAGACTCACTTTTTCACCACCTTACAAAAACTCAACAAGAGGTAGCGTTAACATTGTTCACCAGCAGCTCACAGACGAGGCTTCCTTCAGATGTATCTGCAGACACTTTCAGTATATCACCCTTGTGAGTGCCGGTATCAGCCGATGCAGATTACCTCAAAATGCCAGATCATTTTTTTTAACTGCTGATAAATCATGCAGAGCTACAACTGATGTTTTCAAATGTCTCCTTTTGTCTAAACCGGTCCAAAACCTGCAGATATTCAGTTTACTTTCAGAAATGACGAATAAGACACAGAAATGTCACAATTGAGCAGCTTGAGTCACTGAATGCTTTTGGCATTTTCAAATGACTGAAATGATAAATCAATTAACAGTAAATAAGATTTTTTTGTTGACTGACTGATTGATTATTCCACCAGTCGTTTCAGTACTAGAATCATTTACAGGTGTGAATAGAAATGGTTGAGTGAGCGTGAGTTTTCTGCATGGTGGTGCAAACTTCTGTTATTTATTCACCAGAATCCATAAAACCTGAATAAACTAAATATCAGTGATGTGTCCACACTGACAGTAAAGACAAAGAGGGGGTCACTGACAGCACTGATCACAGCTGTACAGCCACCAAAAACAAAGGGATGTTATTGGCTGATGCAGGTGCGACACAGCAGGAGGCTGCTGCGCACCTCTTACCTCTCCATCATCTGTGTCAGGAGGCCACATTCCAGGCGACATCAGTCCGTTTGGGGAGCAGATCCCAGGAGGAGAATATCCGGAGGAAGAAATGAAAACAGCATGTTTATTTGTGCAGACTCATTACTCGATGCGTAATTTGACGCGCGGTAGGTTATTAATTACCTGCAGGGACTTACCTGACCGGGGCGCGCGACTCTTGTACCTGCTGTTGGTCGTCATCTTGGACGCAGTTGGTGCTAAATGCGTCCAAACTGAATGAGCTGGGCGGGTCTGGAGCCGCTGGTGCTCCCTTTAAATTAAGGCTGTACAATCTTTCACCGCCACAGCAAGAAGATGAGTCCAACAGCAGCAGCGTTCACGTGTGCAGGAATGAATCTAAATCACAAACAAAACCACAAAATCTTTCATTCTGTCGCCATATTCTGCAAGCCAGATCTGTGTCCTCATGCACGCAGGATGGTCTGCCGACTGTGAGCCGGTTTATTGTGTGAAAAAGTGTTTGCAGTGCAGGTGAGACACCAGGCGGTGGCAGTATTGCCCTGTTCATGCACAAGAACATCACGTTTACATGATGCCCTGCAATGCTGAATTGTCTGTGCTGCAAGTTCTACATTTATTTTGAATTTCTTCTGATAATAATAATAATAATAATAGTTTATTCATAGTGAACTTTTCAAGCTAAAGGCTTAAATTGCTGAAGCTAAAAGACGAAAAGAGCTTTAAAGATGAATAACAAGCAGCAAAGATCAGCAGTGGAAGCAATACAAGCAACACTACAGTGTAGAAATACTTTGTTCCAAGTAAAAGTACTACATTTAAATTCTTACTTAAGTAACAGTACAAAAGTGTTAGCATCAAATATGCTTAAAGTACAAAAAACAATTTATTTCATATTTATATCCAGTACTGTGCTGACGTTTTGATGATTGTTTGATGCTCTTTTGAAGTCAAATATTGATTTGATTTAAATTTTTCTTCTGTTCACTCACTTTGCCTTGTGTTTATTGATATATAAAATCTATTAACATGTTTATTTTTGAAAGCATATTTTATATTAATAACCTGAATCTGCAAATAACCAATGTCAAATAAATGTAATGTAGAGTAAAAAGTACAATATTTGTTTGTGATGGTACAAAGTAGCATAAAATGGAAAAACTCAAGTAAAGTACATGTACCTCAGAATTGTACTTAAGTACCATACTTGAGTAAACGTACTTAGCTACATTCCACCACTGGCAATTATTACACCTCTAGTGGCAAAAGAAGTCAGGCGACGTAAGGAGGTGGTGGAGTCAAGTAAACTCTGGACTTTTAACCACGAAACCGAGGTTCAAGTGACGTGTGGAAAAAAGTTGAAGTTGTAATTTTTTAAGTTAAATAACGGACGTGCCTACTTAATGTAAGTACTTATTTTAACCCAAACCACCATCTTTTCCCTAAAGCTAAGCTAGTGATTTAGTTGCCTAAACCTAACCATCTAGCGCCGTTTCACAACATTTGCCACGTGTTAAACGTGTTGGTCTGGTACGCCTGTCGCTGTACTGGAACGGTTAAACACTCATACGTGTTGTTTTGAGGAATTAATGTATTTTAACCTTCCAACAGTTTTATACGTAGTTTTGGGACACTTGACAATCGACCCATTTTGTCGTTTAGGTATGACCAAGTGTTGGTGATACTGTTGCTGTTAATATATTTTACTAACCGTAAAATGGAAACATAATGTTTGAAAATACAAACAACAAAGCTCTATGGATCATCACCTGCTGAGGATTATACTGTTTAAAATGACAACTAGGCCATCATTCGTTAGCTAAGCAAACGTTTCTGCAATGAAGTGGTTAAAGATGCCATCTCCAGCTAAGTTTGTAGTGTTTCCATCTGTCTGATTTAAAAGAAGAACCCTGTGAAAGGGTCATAAATACACACTTGGTGGCTACATACTTCATATAATGCTAAAAGGCTAAAGCTAACAGATCCGAGGCAAAAAGCAAGTGTAGCGTAAGGGTGTAGATTTTAATCTAAGGCCTTAGATTACCATTAGTTTGTTCACTGAACAGATATTTTACTGGTATTCCTTGGGGTTTATATTAAAGGTTATTTAAATAACAGCAGATACACAATATATACACATTATACCCTCACACATCCGAATACAGACATATTTTTAAAGAAAATATCCAACAACAATGCAGTATTGTGTGGCTCGGTGTGAGATGCCACCCACTAGCAGACCTGTGTAACATGTAAGTGTTAGTGAGTTTTACTGTGCTGTAGTTATAGTAACAACAAAAGAGTCTGTCTACGGTTATGTTTTTTTAAATGTATTTTTTCTTAATGAAAAATAAAACTAGACGTCTTTGCCACGAGCCTTCAGCTGCTACCCGGTCAGACATGCCAATCATTTCCCTGCCTCCAGTTTGTCAAAGACAATCCCAGGCTGGATGTGCCTCAGCGGTCAGTGACAGTGAGTTATTCAAACACAACAGCAGGACTAAAACAAGCAAAAAAGAAAAAGACATGAGGTTCGGTGAGATTTGTCCTGCAGGGCTGACAGCTACGTGAGGGAGGAGGAGACAGCAGGGGAACAATGATGAGAGCGGGGGAACTGGAGGTGGGAGCCGGGTGCCATAACTGACCCTGTTTCCTGTGCTAGCACACAGGCTGCATGGTGTAGTGGGGGTCAGACAAGGACCGACCTTCCCTCCCACCATCACCAAAATGGATTTCTTCTGATCTCAGTTGGGGGCTCCACAGTGACCTCTGTACACAAACAAAACACTGTAATTGCTCTCTATTTATTTGAAATGCCTACACGGGGCTTTAGCTGGCCCACTTTTGGCATTCGCTGCTCAGTTTTGGTTTCATGCAGTGTGAGGAAGGGATGGCTCAAATGCGATAAACTGGGATTTAACATGAGCTGTTTGGCCTGGAGGTCAAATATGCAGCATAATAATCCAGAGTTTAGTGGTGTAATCTCTCCCAGCTGACATCAAATGCCAAGAAATGTAATCAAAGTATGATCATTAGAGAGTCCAGCCTTCTCCAACAGTAACCAGGCGCTCTGACGTCTCTCTAACGGCACAGTAACAAACATTAATTCAGAAATTATGTCGAAATTAATATTTTTCTTCTAGTCAGATTTTATATTTGAGGGATATTTTAATGCCGGGTTCAGACTACACAATAACTGCCCTACCCGACAGATTTTCACTCCCAACTCATCACATTTGGAGGCTTGTTCGAGACCCACTTTTTAACGCCCTGGGTACCCTTTAGAGTTGTTTTTTGCACATGTAGGGCTCCGCAGTCAAGTTAGTAATACAAATATGTAACGTCCGCTTAGACTTTCCAAATAAAACTTGTGGTAAATTTGTAATGTTGCAATTTGGTTAGGTTTAAGTACAAAAACTACTTGGTTAGATTGAGGAAAATATGCATTTGGTTAAAATAATTATGTTATTTACATTTTAACATATATAAATCACAATAAAGTTATGTCACATACATGTGTTTTTCCGTTAACCATTTTCAAAAGACAGCTTGAGAGGCAGTTTTACTGGCACCAATCAGAAACATCAGAACAGCTGTGGCTGGAAAAGGCAAAGGAAGACGTGGTGCACATGAAAAACATGCAAAGCAACAAAATTAATATTATTATTATTATAAACATTTAGCCAAACTTTTTACAAAAAATATTAGGATGTAACCTCCAATGCAAACATGAACATTTAACTGTAACTGTAATTAATTTACACTTTGTTAAGTAGCAAATTAATACTTATACAAAGCAGAAGAACTCTGGAACCAATCCAGGATTGGAGAAACGGAGGTCAAGAGTCGCTCGTTCGAACCCCTCACCAGTCTCTTTTAAACATGAAATCAAAAATGTCTCTAAAATTCTGAAATTACTAGGATTTTCCTGACTATTTCAACTCAGACTCTAAAAAAACTGCAAACATATATGCATAAAACATTTCTCAGCCTCTTTAGTAATTCCCCTCCTAATATTTTAATGTGATCACCCCCAGGAAGTGTTCAGATCCTAAAGCTGGAGTGCAGGCCCTGTACAAAATGAACGTCCATTAAATTCAAGCACTAAACGAGTTCACAAAGCCTCTCACCTCCATGTAAATCTCTCTGTATTTGAGTTTTCTGAGGCTTCCTTCCTGCACAGGCGAAACCAGTAGTCACGTGTTTTATGCCAACCAGCAATGATTGGATTTAATCGGCTGTGTATAAACTGTTATGTATAAACTTCACATTTAATAATATAATAACAATCTTTATTTGTAGAGCACTTTTCAAAAACAAGTTACAAAGTGCTTTAACAAGTGTAAAGACAATAATACAAAAACAATACAAGATAAAGCATGAAAACATTGAAAAGACTAAAATACACATTTAAGATAAATATAAAATTAGTAAAATAGAATAAACTAAAAGGCATAAAATAAAGTCAAATAAGATCGGGAAAGGCTCTCCTATAAAAGTATGTTTTAAGAAGGGACTTATATAACAAGGCGAGAGGCCATGAAGAGCTTTAAAAGTGATCAATAGAATTTTAAAGTCAATTCTAAAACACACTGGGAGCCAGTGTAATGAAGCTAAAATAGGAGTAATGTGGTCATATTTCTTTGTTCTGGTTAAAAGCCTGGCAGCTGAGTTCTGGACAGTCTGGAGTCGATCAATAGATTTTTGGGTTAAACAGGTGAAATTATTGCAATAATCCAGGCGTGATGAGATGAAGGCGTGTAAAATGGTCTCGGTGTCCTTAAAAGTTAACATAGATCGAATTTTTGCTATATTTCTAAGTTGATAAAAACATGATTGAAACAGCTTTGTGGTGTGCTGCTCGAAATTTAAATTACTATCAAACCAAACACCAAGGTTCTTTGCCACAGGCTTAATGTGATTTACTAGCGAACCAGCAGATGGCAGTATTTGATTTGCCATCTGCTGGGACCCGATGACCAGGATTTCTGTTTTGTCTGAATTCAGCTGGAGGAAATTATTTGACATCCATTTTTTAACTTCACAAAGGCAGTTGTTAAGTGAACTGAGCATTCCAGGGTCTGTGGATCTGACGGGCAAGTATATTTGTGTGCCATTTGCAGGGCTCTACAGTGCAACCACAGAGTAACTACAATAATCCAAAACATCACGCCCCTATAGTAGCGTGCAGGACGCGACGCAAAGCTGGTGTCAGTCAAATGAGAGTTGTTGAAACTCTGGTAGAGAAAAAGCCAGCTGGCCACAGGAGCACCAGGAGATCCCATTTATATATGAACATACTAACAGTATGCTATTAGATTAAAATTGAACGTTCTATCTAATGTTATTGTGTGAAGCGCCTCTGCAGTGGAAAGATGCAGATTTCCACTGCACAGGTGTGCCAGTACATGCTCCTACTAGCCTCCTCCTGAGAGCAACACGTTCCCCTTGTTTTGATTTACTAAAGTTACTGTAACACTGTTCAGTAGTC